TAAGAACAATGTAAAATATTAAATCCTTTGTTGGCTGTTAGAAAGTTTAGAGCGAACTCTTGCCCTCATCTCCTGCCCAAGTAGCTGAGACATCACAGCATGTGTTTTGTGTGACTCATCATTGGGGTTTGAGGGACTAATAGATAATGCCCATTTTCCCTGTCTGGGTGCTAAACTAATTGAGAAATAGACACAGAAGTCAAACAGGTGGAGATCCAGTGTCAGCTTTGTTACCACTGAAGGCAAGGTGGGAGATTGCAGCTTAGGTGGGGAGACACCTGGACTGCTAATATTCCCTTCTGAGTTAGGCAGACTTTCGGTCCAAGGCACAGGTGGCTGGGCGCCACAGTCCTCCCCTATGGAGGATGCGAAGTCCGTAGACAGGCACCCCCCCTCCAATGAGGGAGACACTCCACCCCCCCCCCAGATGCACCATCAGAAAAACCCCGTGGGCCCTAGCTCTTGGCCCACTCTCTGAAGAGGGCCTGGGGCAGGAAGCCAGGAGCATTACTCTAGAGAATGCCTTGCATGTAGGGAGAGGGAAAGATTACCCCCAAACATTGACCTTACTCCTGATTTCTTTCCACCCTTGTTTCCCTTTGTCCAGTTCCTTAGCTATTTAGCTAACTGCAACATATAGATGTAGATATGTTGTTGTTGTTAGGTGCCATCTAGTAGGTTCCGACTCATAGCAAAACGCTGCCCGGTCCTGTGCCATCCTCACAGTTGTTATGCTTGAACCCGTTGTTGCAGCCACTGTGTCAATCCATATCATTGAGGGTCTTCCTCTTTTTCACTGACCCTCTACTTTACCAAGCATGATGTCATTCTCCAGGGACTGGTCCCTCCTGATAACATGTCCCAAGTATGTGAGATGAAGTAAAATGAAATCCTTGACAACTTTAATATTTTCTCCGTTTATCGTGATGTTACTTACTGGTCCAGTTGTGAGGATTTTTGTTTTCTTTATGTTAAGGTGTAATCCATACTGAAGGCTTTGGTCTTTGATCTTCATCAATAAATACTTCAAGTCCTCTTCACTTTCAACAAGTAAGGTTGTGTCATCTGCATAATGAATCTTCCTCCAGTCTTGATGCCATGTTCTTCTTCATATAGTCCAGCTTCTCGCATTATTTGCTCAGCATACAAATCGAATAAGTATAGTGAAAGGGTACAACCCTGACACACACTTTTTCTGATTTTAAATCACACAGTATCCCCTTGTTCTGTTCAAACAACTGCCTCTTGTTCTATGTAGAGGTTCCGCATGAGCACAATTAAGTGTTCTGGAATTGCCATTCTTCATAATGCTGTTCATAATTTGTTATGATCCACACAGTCTAATGCCTTTGCATAGTCAGTGAAACACAGGTAAACATCTTTCTGGTATTTTCTGCTTTCAGCCAAGATTCGTCTGACTTCAGCAATGGTATCCCTGGTTCCATGTCCTCTTCTGAATCCAGCTTGACTTTCTGGCAGTTCCTTGTTAATGTACTGCTGCAACCGCTTTTGAATGATCTTCAGTATAATTTTACTTGTGTGTGATATTAAAGATATTGTTCAATAATTTCTGCTTTCTGTTGGATCACCTTTCTTTGGAATGGGCACAAATATGACTCTCTTCCAGGAGGTTGGCCAGGTAGCTGTCCTCAAGTTTTTTGGCATAGACTAGTGAGCGCTTCCAGCATTGCATCTTTTTGTTGAAACATCTCAGTTGGTATCCCATCAATTCCTGGAGCCTTGTTTTTCGTCACTGCCTTCAGTGCAGCCTGGACCTCTTCCTTCAGTAGCATCGGTTCCTGATCATATGCTACCTCCTGAAATGGTTGAACGTTAACCAGTTCTTTCTGGTGCGGTGACTCTGTGTATTCCTTCCATCTTCTTTTGATGCTTCCTGCATCCTTTAGTATTTCCCCCATAGAATCCTTCAGTATTGCAACTTGAGGCTTGAATTTTCTCTTCAGTTCTTTTTCAGCTTGAGAAATGCCAAGCATGTTTTTCCCTTTTGGTTTTCTATCTCCAGGTCTTTGCACATGTCATTATAATACTTTACTTTGTCTCCTCGAGCCACCCTTTGAAATCTGCTGTTCAGCTCTTCCACTTCATCATTTCTTCCTTTTGCTTTAGCTACTCGACATTCAAGAGCAAGTTTCAGAGTCTCTTCTGGCATCCACTTTGGTCTTTTCTTTCTTTCCTGTCTTTTTAATGACCTCTTGCTTTCTTCATGTGTGATGTCCTTGATGTCATCCCAGAACTGGTCTGATCTTTGGACATTAGTGTTTAATGAGTCAAATTTATTCTTGAGATGGTCTCTAAATTCAGGTGGAATATACTCAAGGTCATACTTTGGCTCTCGCGGTCTTGTTCTTCAGTTTCAACTTGAACTTGCTTGTGCGCAATTGATGAGCTGTTCTGCAGTTGGCTCCTGGCCTTGTTCTGACAGATGATATTGAGCTTCTCCATCATCTTTTTCCATAGATGTAGTCAATTTGATTCCTGTGTATTCCATCTAGCAAGGTCTATGTGTATAGACACCATTTATGTTATTGAAAAAAGATATTTGCAATGAAGAAGTTGTTGGTCTTGCAAAATTCTATCATGCAATCTCTGGCATCGTTTCTGTCACCAAGGCCATATTTTCTGACTACTGATCCTTCTTCATTTCCGACTTTTGCATTCCAATCACCAGTAATGATCAGATCTTGATTGTATGTTTGATCAATTTCAGACTGCAGAAGTTGGTAAAAGTCTTCAGTTTCCTCAAATTTGCCGTTAATGGTTGGTGCATAAATTTGAATAATAGTCATATTAACTGGTCTTCCTTGTAGGCGTGTGGATATTATCGTATCACTGACATCGTTGTACTTCAGCACAGATCTTGAAATTTTCTTTTTGAGGATGAATGCAGTGCAAGGCTGTTATGGAAGCAGACTGCCACATCTTTCTCCCACAGAGCAGCTGGTGGGTTCAAACTGCCAACCTTTTGGTTAGCAGCCGAGGGCTTAACCACTGCACCATCAGGGCTCCTGATATAAATATAGATATCGATGCCTCAGAAGACAGACCTGAAGGCAGGCTTGGTGATATGCTTATGAAAGGTCGCAGCCTTGAAAACCCTATGGAGCAGTTCTACTCTGCACACATGAGGTCACCATGAGTTGGAATTGACTCAATGGCAACTAAGAACATATCCAAAAAACCAGTTGCAGTCCAGTCGATCCCAACTCATGGTGCCCCCACGTGTGTCAGAGTAGAACTATGTTCCACAGGATTTTTAATGGCTGATTTTTCAGAAGTTCAGAGGTGCTTCTGGGTGGACTCAAACTTCCAAGCTTTAACCAGTTGCACCACCCAGGGACTTGGATAGATAGATAGACAGACAGACAGACAATGTAAAGCACCTTATATATTATATATGTGTATATATGTACATATGTGTGTATATAAAACATATATATAAAATAAGGTACTTTACATTATTTTTGGAACAAGTAGTACCAAATAATTTAACTAATGAATTAATTTTAAAATCACAGGAATCTTTTTTTTTTTTTCTTGTATATAGATAACAAAACCACATACCATTTAGAGTGCTTCAAGAGAAAGGGATTGTAGGAGACTGTGCCTCTCTTGTCCGTCTTTCTTTTTTTTAACTCTGCGTTTTAAAAACACAAAGTGTTTCAAAACAATTAAGGCCTATTAACATGCCACACCCCCGATGAGCTAGATAGAATATGTGCAAAGAAGACAGTTAATATAAAATGTTCCATCATGAACCCATTTTAGAAGAGTCAGTGCCACATTCTTTAATGAAAATTTTTAGAAATGGTATATCCAAATGTGTATTATGCCTTTCAAGAAAATCAATTTGAAAGACTATACCCTATTTTGGAGCCCTGCTGGTGCAGTGGTTAAGAGCTACGAAGAGCCACAGCTGCTAACCAAAAGGTTGGTGGTTTGAATCCATCAGCCTCTCCTTGGAAACTCTATGGGGCAGTTCTAGTCTGTTCTGTAGGGTCACTAAGAGTCAGAATCGACTCGACAGCAACAGGAATTTTGTTTTTTTGTTTTTTTTTTAACACCCTTTTTCAATGAAGCCATTACCACTCAGAGAATTTTTTTTTTTTTTTTAATTCCAGAACTACTCTGGATGCTTCAGAAAGTATCTCAAATACTCTCAAAAATGACAAGTGTTTCTCCTTTAGGGTGAATCTGATTTTGGAAACAGCCATTTGGAACTATGCTTAGCAAATAGTGCGCCTGTTTGAATTTGGTACCAAAGGTTTTTATTAAGAACAAGGTTATTAGATAGTAGTGAGATAGCTTTTTTGAGTGCTTCCTTCTGAAGATATGTGTGTAACAGGAAATAAAAGAGGAAAAGTGGGTAGATTTTGCTGTTGAAGGAATGTGTAACTTACAGTTAACAATGAAATTGTGGTCAAATTGTATGTTTCACATAGCATGAAAAGGAAGTTAGATAGTTCATGTTTAGCCAACGAGCGCTGCTGTTAGCACTTAGAATATGCTGAGATCTTTTTGTCGGGTACCATTTTTCCCTTCCATTACTTGGATATTTAATTTCTTTCTTTAGGTGATGCCAGTGTTATCCATAATACTGGTCCTCACCATTATTCCTTTTAAATGAAAGCATTAAGAATGATTGCTTATAAAGGAAAAATATTGTATGATTCCACTTATTGTGAAATATCTAGGATAGGCAAGTGTATACAGATCTACGTTTATTCGTTGTTACCAAGGGTGAGCAGGAGGACGGGGAAAGGGAGACTCATTGCTTAGGGGACACTGAGCTTCTGTCAAGGGCGGTGGAAAAAATTTGGAAACAGATAATGGTGATGGTTGTACAACATGACGAACACAGTTAATCTCACTGAATTGTACATGTGAAGAATGTTGAAAGGCAAGTGTTTTGTTACATATATATTTACCATAATGAAAGAAAAAAGAATGATCACTCACGTGCGACCCCACTTCTATTCCAGAACATAGGAAACTTGGGAACATGACTGTGACCGTGAAGAAGACTGTCCCCTCTCCTGAGGCCGTGCAGATCCTCTACCAGCGAATGAGATACGAGTACGAGTTCTACCACTATGTCCGAGAGCAGTTCCACCTGCTGAAGCGCAAGTTCGGACTTAAGTCTCACGTCAGCAATCCCCCTCTGAGACCACATTTGTTTATTCCAACTCCACTGGAAACCGAGGAGCCAATTGATGATGAGGAACAAGATGATGAAAAGTGGTTAGAAGATATTTATAAGAGGTGATGCAACACTGCGTTGCCTCCTATGCCTTTATCTCCCTTTCCAGAAAGTTTTTTGTTTGGAGAAAAAAAAAAATCCTTAAGGGACTAAATTAATGCTCGGCTGCATTAAAAAGAACAAAACATTCCCACATGTTGGGGTCATTGGGAGATGCCCGGTTTTGCGGGTTTTATTTGTTTAATTTTATTATGTGTTTTTCTTGGCTCCTTAGGTCCTTCCCAGGTACACTAGATGGTTCCATCACAAGACATCTTGTCATAAAATAGCTTTTTTTCTGCTAGTATAATGGGAAAAAGGGAGATAAATACGCTCCATGGCCCAATAATTTATCATTTGTAAAATAACTTGTAAAAACATTACCTCAGTGGTAGGAGACATCCAGATTTGTATATTTCAGTAGAAATACAAAACCACTTTAGAGACTAGGGCATCTATCTAGAAGGATCTAAGAGGAGAAGGGAAGTCAGACAATGAGGACATCAAAAGAGAAGATGTCCCTGGACAAGTGGTTTCTACCCACATTGGATAGAATTCTGCCTCTGGTCCATCTCAGGGGACACCTTCACCAACAGCAGTGTACTTATCTCTGAAAGAGCAAGTTGGCTTGTGCCACCTCCCCAAGCAATCCAGAGCCTTGAGCCCCTTTCAAAGGTCAAAGTGCATGGCAACCTGCATTGAGGCATTCCGTCTGCAAGCACCATCCTAACAGATTGCAAAGCAGCAGAACAGGGAAAAGAATTTGCAGCATAAGAAGGAGTGTAGGCAAGACAGATAAAATCTGGAGGTCATGAGGCATCAGGAAAAGGGCATGGTCTCGTCCTTTCAACCCAATATGAAACATCTGTCTCCCTGGTATTGCTTTAAATGGATGCCTCCAGGAACCAGTTTAGTTCTAGCACTTGACAGACTTAGAGGTTCTAAGTCTGACCACAGATAATGCGTGATCTATCAGTCACACTCCTGAACCAAGTGGGGTCCCATAGTGCTTGGTATGTTTCACCTTCTAGTCCCTTAAGAAGAACGTGATTTCAGTAAGAAGGGGTACTGAGTTCTGTGCAGGCAGCAATAGAACTACAGTCTTACTTCTTAAGGTACCAGCTCACTCCTGAGCATCCTTACTGGGGACATCAAGAAGAGAAGAACCAAGAGCTTCTTGGTAAAAGACTGCTTGACCAGCTTTATGAGGAGGTGGCTGTCCCCTGTGTGATCTGAGTAGATGTTGGGCAGTTCCACTGCCCCGAAGTATCTCTTCTCCCCACCTCCCATCCCTATCACCTGCTGCCTGTCAGTGATGCCTTTGTCCAGTCATTAGAGCTGTTTTTTTGGATTCTCAAGTGTTTTCACTTCTTAAAAAACCCAAGTGAAACCACATACACACCCAGGTGGATAATACATAGCTAGCTGAGAAGCAGGGGTGCAGGTGGTGGGAGCAGGGAATGCAACCAGGAAGGACACATACAACTAGTTTTGCCTACTGCATACATTTTCCCCTTGAGCCAGCCCTCCAAGCACACTGTCAAAGTGTGAGTTGGAAATATTTAATAGTGACTAAGACTCTGACTTTACACAAGCTACACATTTTCTACTTTTCAGAAACAAACAAGTCTCTCTAGAATTTTTTCTTCCTTCACTACAATTGGATGGTAGCCAAGATATAAAGCAAGCCATTTGGAACCTGTCAAGTGCACACTAAAACTGCTTTATCATGAGATGTATTAAGAAGGCTCCAGCCCCCGAGGAACCCGGTGGAGGCTGGCACCATCAGAGACACAAAATCCAGCCCTTGGCCACTTGTGGGCCTTCTTTCTGCCCCCAGAGAACTGGGGCAGAGAAGTGATTAAAGGAAATGTTCTTAGAAGAGGAAATATCCTTTGTCCTGTTCAGAGAGACCAGGGCCCTCCTGTTTATTAAGGCATACTTTAGAAAGCAGCCCAGAAAACAGCTGTCGGATTCAAAACAAGAACAAGGACCGCTGCCTGGTATGTTGTGAGTCATTTCTATGAAATTACATATAAAGAATAAGATTAGTGTACACACTGTGCAATCTCATAATCTGAAAATTAAGTTGAGCTTCACCTTAGGAGGAAAGGCTCTGCTGTTGTCAGAATATAGGAACCGTTGGTCATTTAAAAAAATCCATCCTCTTAGGACAGGTTCACGTGGGCACTTCTCCCTGTGTTTGAAGACGTGTATTCAGCAGGGATCCTCTATAACGTAACAACAAAAGATGTTGACTGACTGACTTGCAGGGCCCTAATGTTATTTTGGCCCAACAAACAGCCCCGAGGTTATGCCTCTTCTCCCTGAAAGCAAAGGCATTTCATCAATTTATCTGGAGCACATGACAAAGTTTCTTTGGCTCTGGGCCCAACACAATTTGTACTTCATGAAATATATTGTACATTTTACATAGTTTAATTTAAAAAATACATTTTAAGCTGGTTAATCTTTGACTGCCTTATTTATTATAACCTTTCAGCACATTCCAAGGTTTTAGTTACTCAGGAAGGAGTTAATTAAAATGATTTTATTTTGGTCTGATGGATGTTTTTTAAAAGGAAAATTATTATTATAAACCTTTAGCCTACTTTCCTTGAGTGCCGTAAAAGTGCTTGTAAGTCTGTTTTTCTTTTTTTAAAGAAGAAAGGAAAAAAAAATGGTGTTTGATGGAAATTCGAAAATATATATGGAACTGAAGCATTAGCTTAGCTAAAATAAAAGCAATCTGTGTTTGAGATGAAGTGTCCCTTAATTTATTCATTATCCACATAAATAAATGAATATAAATAAGTTGGATTTTTTTCTCCGTTCTGTTGATAGCTGGAAATAAAAGTACCTGCAGTTACTCACAGTACCCTCAGCCTTCTTAATTGGTCAAGCTTTCCCTCCCCGCCCCTCAAAATGTGATTTTGAAATTCTGTATTTTAAAAAAATCTCTAAACTTTTATTCTGGAAATTATATGACACCAAAAAAGGTGGCTGAAGAAATGAGCTCGATCATTCCGTCATCCAGTTGTGTATATAGAAGACTAGATACTGAGTTTATTGCTATTTCCACAGCTGGTTTGGTCTCAGGGATGCTTCCTCTGATTCGTCAATCTCCAATATCAGGTTATCTATGCCCTCTGTCTGCAGTAATGTAGGAAAGGAAGGCTGTGCCTCATGTCTCAGTGTGTACCCTGATCTCTTTCTCAGACATGTAGGATCGCAAAAGCTGGACAGCGCCAACCTCCCCAGGGAGCGTATTTGATCCAGAAATGCCCTCCCTGGGAAATTCCACTGCTGCATTCAGATGGAACATGAGAGAGACACAGAGTACTTCGAGGGAGCCCACTGTATTTTCTAGATATTGGATACTACTTTCCAACCACATGCGACTTTTGTAAAATAAAAGAATCAAAATCTTGGTGCTAAATGAAAGAAAAAGCCATTTCAGTACTTTATTCCAAGTAAGAATCTGAGTCTTAAACAGCAAGTGATAAGTGGTGACCTTGCCTTATCATTGAGTTTGTTCTTCTGTACCCTCGCAAAATGATGCTTGACTGTGAATGAACTTTAAAGAAAAAGGTCCTTAAAAAAAAGAATGTTCCACATCTGGAGCTGCTTGTTGGGTTTGAAGTTCTTTGTAAATGTGCTGCTACCTGTGGAATTTTCCAGTGAGCTATTTGGCATTAAATGAATTTTACAGATAATAATAGGATTTCTTAAAATACAGAACAATAATCCATAGCCATTCAGAAAAATAGTCCTGTGGATCAAAACTGTGAAATTCCCTTGAAGTAAATTAAAGAGGATTAAAAAAAAAAAAAAAAACCTAAAATGACTGACTTCACATCTGATAATGAAGAAACTGGTTTAAAAAAAAAGAAAGTATTTTGAATATCCTGCTACAGCAAAACCTATTTTAGGCCAAAATCGATATGAAATGTCTTTTAAGAAAAGCACACAGAACATCTTTCCATCAAAAATCCAGTGTGGTAGAACTCAGATTATAGGAGACAAATTCCAGCAAAGGAACGAACTCTGACTAAACCAGTTGCTGTAGAGTCGATTCCAAATCCTGGGGATGCCTTGTGTGTCAGAGTAGAACTGTATCTGATGAGGAGCAAAGAAAGCCTGAAATCACAGACTCAGAGCTGCAGTGGAGCTTAGCAACCACCTGGTCCGTTCTCTCGTTGTAGAGGAGGAAACCAAGGTCCAGAGAGGATACATAAATATATCACAAGGTTGACTTAATGTTTGAGTATCTACAAAATTAACACTTTAAAATAATGATACAGAGCCAAAGGCCATCTACTGACCCAGAATCTGGAGCGGAAATGATGAGGCACCTTCAGGACCCCACCCAGCACTACAGGCCACATGGAAGTCTCCTCACAGTGTGGCTCTCCCCGGAGTTAGGGCTGTGGGGCCCCCTTCCACAGAAAGAGACCCTGTTGTTTTCAATCACAGAAGTCCTCAGAGGCAGATGCCAAAACAAATCCAGTTTATTCTAGATTTTTCACTCTACTCAAAGGACACAGAGAGGTTCTTGTTTCTTGGTAAAAAGATTTGGGCTCTGTTTGCCCATGTCAGTTTATAGAGTTTCATTGTTCTTCAAGGCAAAACAAAGAAGCACGTCCTCCTTCCTATAAGGAGATGTACTCATCTCCAAAGATAGAGTCAAAATGGGACCCATAAAACCAGTTGAGTGCAGACCTGCCCTTAGAAAAACAGAACTAGAGCATAACCAGGCCCTGAGTCCACGCAGGCCTCCTCACTCCTCATCTCTGTTTCACTCACTCGAGAATTCCTTTCTGCATAGCGCAGGCTTGGCACCGAGCTCTGAGTACTGCTGATTCCCAAGGAACACCCAGCCCACAGATGTTCGCAGGTCATAGAATCGTGAACTGACCACTTCTGCATTTTGGATTTCAACTTGTAAACATGGGGATTCCCTTTAAAAAAAGGAAGGGGAAGAAAAAAATCACCATGCAAACGAAAAACGTGAGCTAAGTTGTTCCTTTTGGAATCTTGGCGTGTGTGTTTAGTTATCTTCAACCTGGCTTTCACCATACACTGGGTGCTTTGAGCAAGCATGGGGCAATCTGCCTTACTCTGTGCTGCCAGAACATCTCAGACTTGACCTGTAACACGCCTCTTATTCCAGTCATGAGCAGAGACAGCCGGAGGATGGGCTGCGCCAGACACAGCATGCTGGCTGCTTGGAGCAGCTAGAGAGGTGCCTAAAACCAGGAAGCGGAACGGTTGACTGACTTGAGCAAAGGCCTGCACACAAGCAAAGTCCCTGAGTTCAAGTCCCAGCTGATCTATTTCACTGAGCATAGGAGTCAATCACGTGACCTCCTGTGCCTAGAGTCAACCCATCTGGAAAGCGTTAGAATGAAAATAGGACGTCCACTCAACACCAAGAGCTGCTTCTGGATGAACCATATCCCAGCTCCTACTTCTCATATGGAGTCCCTGGGTGGTACAAATGGTTAGCATGCTCAACTGCTAACTGCAAGTAAGGTTGGAGCTTTAAGCCCACCCAGAGGCTCCACAGAAGAAAGTCCTGGTGATCTGCTTCTGAAAAGTCAACCACTGAAAACCCTATGGAGCACAGTTCTACTCTGACATACATGAGTTACCATGAGTCGGAATCCACTTGATGGCAAAAGGTTTTACTCCCTATATGCTAAGAGTCTATGAGCCACAGGCCTTCCTAGACTGAGGAAGGGTTCGTTTTCTCCACAGAAAAGCAGTGTCCCCAACAGGAGAGCATGGAATTTCACATAATTCCAGGTGCATTGATGTCCCTGATCCCTCACATCTTCGGGTGGTGTTGACCAACATATTGAGAAACAAGCACATATAGTGGAAAATAGTACTTTGGAAATGTGAATTGAAATGATAGAAAGAGGCATGATCTCCAGATGTTCGTCAGAGTAGCTACAGCAGGGACCTGTCTGAAAACATTTCTAGCCCTCACCTCCTGGCCTGGCTCCTGCTATTCCACTTCCTGGGGTAGTGTCGGAGACAAACCACTCTTTGGATTTCCATTTTTCTCCATCAGTCTCTTCAGGAGGAGTTTGTCCAGTCGAGTTTGAGGATTCCTCTCCAGCCCTCTAATTTGTACTAAATACAGGCTTCCTCTCGTTTCTTTAGAGTTCACTGTGTATCTGTCATCCTGTTCATGCCAACAAGAGCCTAAGACATCCATGTGCATTAGTATGGGTTGTGCACGAGGAAAAGTTTTAATAAAAATTGAAAAACTGTCAGTATGGATGCTGTACTCCTTTGGGCTTTTGTTTCTCCTTCTCAGAAGTGGCATCACTGCTGTGACACTGAGAAATCTGGGAGTGATTTTGTGGCCTGGTGACACTTTCAGAATAGTAGATCTTTCTGAGTTCACGATGGGACTTCCACAGGTTGAGACTTTAATCCGTCACATTACTGATTTTTCACGTACAGAAGAGACTTATGACACTGACCACAAACTTCGTAACAGTCACCCTATTTGCTGTTTGTACTAAATTTACTATTTTTTCCTTTCCCGTCAGCTCTCTTGTCTTACGTGCACTGCGTCTTTGACTGGAGGTAGGTGGAATTCTAATCCAGTGGTTCCCAAAGGCTAATGCACGAACCAGGTGTGTGAGGTAGACACACACGCAGATCATTGTGTTAAATAATTTGGGAAGTGCTGCAGTCCGTAAGAGTTATTGCTTGGAGAGTCTGACAGTGTGGTGGCAGATTAAAGGCTCTGAGAAGTCCTGCCATTCAAAATGATTAGTTGGCTTGTTGAACTCCACATTTCTAAAAATCATTGGCCATGGAACCCTTTTTTGAGTAAGACCTATTAATATCCTATAAAACTAGTGCTTTCAGAAACAGTGCTTTAAAGCAAGTCATTTTTCCTCATCAGAAGAGTTTCTTTCTTTCTGCTAGGGTTTGTTTTTTGAACTTCTAAATGGTCCTTGCCTGTTGTTTAGAGACAGGAACTCTGCCTGAAATTAAAATGCCTTTGCATCCTATTTGAGGAAAATAGTTTTTCAGATGACTAACATTTTGGTAAATAAAAGAGGCAAATAATATTCTTAATAAAATATTTAACAAGGAATCATCTTACGGTTTTGTTTATTCTCCCTAATTACATTCCCCTACTTCTTGAAAAGAGTGCCTGGATGGTGCAAACAAGTTAATGTGGTTGGCTGCTAATCAAAAATTTGGAGGTTCAAGTCTACCCAGAGGCACCCTGGAAGAAAGGCCTGGCAATCTACTTCTGAAAAATCAACCATTGAAAACTCTATGGAGCACCATTCTACTCCAACACACATGGGGTTGCCATGAGTTGGAATTGACTCAACTGCATCTGAACTGGACTGGACTTCATGAGAAAGTAGAAACCTTTTAAAGTAAATCTTTTATGCTTTGTAATGTTATTTGGGTACCTCAGATCAATTCACTACTTCCACCATGATCCACACTCAAATCAAATTGAATAAAGGAAATCTGTTCCCATTTCTTCCCCGACCTGTGGTAGGTCATGCTTTACAGAAGGTAAGCAGTGGCAAAACAGGGGTCTCCAGGTGCTCAGATCAGGTAGGTAATTGGGGATAAGAAGGCTCAGCTCCTGCTTGAGCTCAGCTTTTGCACACTGGGGCACCTGTGTTGTTTAGTACACTAGGGGGAGCCGTATCCATAACAATTTACTCAAGGAAGCCGAAGATCTTTCGAAACCTAATTCCTCCCCCATACCTGCTTATTTTCCTTCCGTGCTTTAAAGCAGTACGGCCCAGAGGGAACTCATGGTATATTTAAAACACAATGTCAGCCGATCCATAGGAATTGTCTTTCCCAGGCTACCTGACCTGATTTGGTTTTGTTGTTATCATTTTAAAACTAGGATTGCATTTTTTTTTCCACTACGCATTTGTCAGTGTGTGGGAGTGTGGTGGCTTGCTAGTGTTGCTATGACGCTGGAAGCTATGCCGCTGGTATTTCA